TATCTATCTATCTATCTATCTATCTATCTATCTATCTATCTATCTATCTATCTATCTAGGTTTTCAAGACAGCATTTCTCTGTTTAGCCCTGGCTATCCTGGAACTCACTCTGGCACTGGACACTCTGGACCAGGCTAACACTGAACTCACCGCCTGCCTCTGTCTCCTGAGTACAGTGCACCACCACTGCATGGTATGAAATATTTTAGATTTATAAATTAACTGCCACCCACCCAGTTTCTCCTAACATTAAAATTAGTATTACCACGATATACTTGTAAAACCAAAACAACAGCATTACTGGGCTGGAGATCTGGCTCAGTTGGTAGCTTGCTTTCCTACCATGTCTAAAGACCTGGGCTGGGTCCCCAGAAGTGCATAAGCTGGGCAGAGTGGCATACATCTCTAAAACCAGCACACAGGAAACAAAGGTCACCCTTGGCTACACTGGAAATTTAAGGCCAATCTGAGCTACACAAGACCCTGGATCAAAAGGAAAAATGGAAAAACAACAACAAAAAAAGACAGACAGACTGAAAGAAAAGATACAATTATTATTATTAACTAAACTTCAGATTTCATGCAGAGTTTTTTTAACCAGTTTTTCTACCATGTCTCTTTTCCATTCTAAGAACTTGCTCAGTATACTATAAGGTGTTTTAGTCTTCAAGTCTCCTTATTCTCCCCTGGTCTGCATAGTTTTTCTGTCCTTGTATCACAAAAATTAAAAAAAAAAAAATTATTTAATGATACTAGATTGTGAATTTTTAATATTATCTCCATGTCATGAAATAGTATTCTTTTAAGTTTTCAGCTTTTGTCATCTATTTTTGTCAAGATAGCATGAAAAAATAACTAATAACAGCTTGCAATGAATGGCACAACACCCCAGCAAACATTTCTCCTTCCTTTCACATTCCACTATTCTCCTCTAAACTTCCAGTGTCTCAATACTAACTACACCCAGGACATCCACAATGGCTGATCACTCAAGCCTGCCTTCTTCCACTAGCCTGTTCTTACACTCTTCAAAGTTGAGACAGATAAACAGCAACTGTTTCAATCTACAGTTGAAAAACTAAAAGATATAACACTTTCAATATCCTGCTGCAAAACTGAGGAAAATCTAGTATCAAAAACCTTGACTTCTAGTACTTAGATGTTACTAAAGCACAAAAGAAATACTTTTCATCAGTGAGTCACTCTTTACTTTTAATTACACGATTTTATATAAATTACATTTAACCAATTGAGATTGAAGAGTATAAAATACAACTCATGTCCATAATTTTTAGTGTCTTTACAAAATTCCCTCTTTTTCTACAATGACCTATGATAGATCAAATATAAAGAAAGAAAGGAAGAAAGAAGAAAGAAAGGAAGAGAGAGAGAGAGAGAAAGAAAGAAAGAAAGAAAGAAAGAAAGAAAGAAAGAAAGAAAGA